GATCGCTCTTGTTTCTGTGTCAGACAAGGTTCTCCTCCCAATAAACCTGCCGCCACGACAGGCTTACATGGGCTGTTGTATGGTCACATGCCAGTTACCCAGCATAACGGCAAAGCCGAGGAATCGTCTAAAAACCGCAACCCGACTGGGTGCGATGTTCAGGCGCGTGCCTACATCTATTGTAATATTACCATCGTGACGGGGTCGAGAACCGCCTGTCATTGTGTCGAAATCGTATTCTTGGATATCATGACTATCCACTTAGGCGGTTGAGTTATAGTTGTATACGTTACGTGTCAAATGCCTAACGGCTCTGGGCGTTATACGGAATTAAAACACGCATGTATGCTGTACAAATTACCTTTCGAGCCGCGGTACTTCACGTACGTATGCAGGTGCAAAGGCCCGGTCTCGAACAACGACAAATTTGTGGTATGGGAGACCGAGCAATACCGGGGGATAAGAATACAATGTAACTAACTACTTACACACACCTCTGTATATTTCATAAGTTCACGCTGTCCCTGCCTTTCATGATTTGCTCAGCAATAACGACGTACATAGCACGGGTTCGGGATCTCTATATCTCAAGAATAAATAGATACCCCCATTTTCACCATGAGGATTTTTTCTTCAATCTCACATGGTAAATGCCACAAACAGTTTCCCCAGGAATGGAGAGAAACTTGTTGAACATAATGCATGCTAATACCAATCCCATACGTTGGTGGAAGCCTTTCACCGAGAAGCCCGGTTACTACTATATTTCCTCAAATATTCCTACTTCCAGTATCAATCATTCCGCCGTGCCACATCCACTGGTAAGAAAAACTCCGGGAAAGCTGCTCATGGGTTGCCTTGCATGCAACCTAGACCCACTAACCTCGACAGTATCCAACCTATTCTCAGTGCAGATTCTGCATACACAATTCTCATTAACCTAAAGAATGCTAGAATGATGACATCGAGTCATGTCGACCGACTTACCCCAGCCCCCCCCCCAACGTCGGCAACTCAACACGCGTGAGCACTTGTCACTTCGCGAGAGATAAGTCCCGATGTCTTAGTCTTATCAGCCCAAGATGCGAGGGAGCACGAGTCGCTCCACAACAAAGTTCATCAAGAACTATTGACCAGGGGAAATCGAATCGCCAGCCAGCCAGATAGAACCTGGGGCGGGAATCGCCGCAAGACAAAATCAACCAGATTACGCATAATGCCCAGGCGCCCTCAGCTAGCTAGCTGGCTACTATGGCATGAAACTCAAAGTGACAAGCAAGTACTCCCTTATTCATGCTCATCACACTCTATCCTGCAATCTTTGCAGTCAAGGAGGGTCGCATTTCGGGCGAACGAAAAACCGGCGACTTTCGTGCGGATCAGGGCATTTTTAGCACTAGTAGACCGCATCGATGAGAGATGAGTCGTCTTACGCAATTGCGCAATCGTCTACTTCAAGGTCGACACGAAATTGCATACGATGATGCTTGTGCAGAATGTAATCCTACCCATATCTCCAAGATCCTTGGGAACAGTACCCACTCGTCTCGATCTACAGAGGACCCCTGTTTGCTTGGCAAAGCTGCAGTGGCGATCATGCATACAACAACACTACCTATCCCTTTTCTTCCCTCTTCCATACCACACACAGCCAGGCGCCTAGAGCCATGATACTACTACACGTGTACATATATGAGGACTTGACTACGCACTATGTACGTGGTCTACGTCGAACCCAGTCCTAACGAACACCGATATTCGCATCACAAAAGCACCCGGTGGACATGAGACTCGGAAAAAGAAAGACACTTCGGCCAGGTACCGCAGCGTCTTGCCATTGACGTCAACGATGTTTGGCGTCAAATCAATGCGCCCACCATGCCCTTGGAGGAGTTTTCCTTTTTGTGTGGTAGAAAGTCAAGACTTTGAGGGACATACGATATTGGGTAATTTCCCCGGTGCCCTCACATATGCAGTGAGGTGGGGGGGTGTTGGTAGAGATTTTTTTTTCTATGTACTTGCATCTTCTTGTTCGAGAAACCAAGTCGTTGTTCACACGCGCACTAGATTCGACTAGGGGAAATGAGACGTTGCTCGCTCGGGTCGAGCGCTCGGTAGTAGCGCAGATACCAAGGTGCTACTTGCTGTAGGTGTGCTCGATCTCCGCGCTCTAGTCGCGAGACGCGATCCAACGATCCAGCCACAATCCCCGTCCCAAGCCGACGGGCAGGGCAGCGTTTATCGGGATCGTGACCGCTCGGCCATACTTGACTTACCCCTACTTCTTCTCTTCACCCTTTGGGGATTCGGAACGTCCGAACCGTGCCAGCATCACTATGACATCCTAACCTTATACGGGCCTTTGATTCTATGAGGTAGTATCCTTCAAATGCTCTCTTGTGCAAATATGCGGGCTGTTCTTCTTTCGATCATCAATGCGTCAGACGTGTGGGCCATATTATATCACCACTCGAAGCATGGAAGGGGAGCAGAAGAAGGAGGCAGAGTGAGCGGAACAACACAAGCGTTGGGACGTTTTTGATGTATTTCGTGGTTTCTAGTGTTAGTTTCGGATGGGCTGCCGTGACACCAAAACTCAGAAGTACACTAGCGGTGTCTGTCGGTCTCTTGGGTGTACTACTTGGTACGAGATCGGTCTAAGGTAGGAACCACAGCGATCTGACAGCGATTGGCGCTGCTTTCTGGTTCAGATGGTGAGCTGTCGCTTGTAACTAGCCTACTAGATCCCGTTACACTCGTGGAATGGACGGGGTCGCTAGTGATGGAGAGGCGGGTTTCACAAAAGCACTGTCTATTCTTTGCAACGTGCTGCTATCATTGCCATTGGTCTTAGTGTCTGCTGAATAATTACAGGATAGAGATCACTGCCGATCGTATCGTCGCACCAGCTGTACTGGGCAACATTTGCGAACGAGAGAAGCCGTACCATGTCTCTTCTGCGAATGGCTCAAGGGGAATACATTGAGTCTCTGAAGGTCCCAGTGGCTTGCATACAACCCAGCCATTATTCCTTGGTCCTATTGAGACTATAAGGCGTCCGTTGACTGACTTGTGTGTCCTTACCGCCTGCCTGGAAGATGAGTGGCTTGCTGCTGAAAGCGCAGCATAATGGGCGGTTTCGCTTGGTTATCCAAGCCACCGGGATTGCTAAAATGAATATAGTATACATAAGTTAAGCAACCTTTCGTCGTCCACGGTTTTAATTGACTGCAAACATCCTACACGTGTAGAGAATGGAAGACATGTAACGCATTGGCAAAGATTCGCACAAATTTCATGCAGAATCCCGGAACATCAGGGTTCCTTTCATTAAGTGTGAATAAATGTTTAAAATCGGGTTGGCAAGAAAAAACCCCGACTCCCTTGCTTTCGACCCATTCCAAAAGAATTAACCAGTCGATTTTACAGATCAATAGTAGGGACAATCAGATCGTATGTTCACTAAACAAAATTCCTTTTTCTGACATCTGATTCTGAAAAGGAATTGAGAACTGTGGAGACGTCAGAAACTGCCTTATTTTTCGACATGTCAACCATGGCTGGCTAAGAATCTATTGGACTGGCTGTTATCAGGTTTACATGTCTTAGGGCTGAATGAAAATATGAGACGTTTAAATTATTCTCGTCGATAATATTTCTGGCTAGAACGAGAGTGACCTGAACGTATATTAGCATAGCAGACTTACCCAATACTGGTAGACACATCCAAATCATTAGTAACTACTATGGTAAGCATTAATGTTGTATCCCCCTGCGCCAGAAAGCAGTCTTAACTCAAAACTTGCAAGTGACAAATTCCTCCAATCTTGCCTGTATAGCACGTAGCGTGTAGCATGTAACTGTAATTTCTATCCGCTCGTAAGCTTGATATAATAAGAGGATGCTTGTGACGTACCTCCTTACATGCTCGTGTACGAAGGGGTAAGGATTATTTCTTCATGGATCTTCAAATCATGAATGGAATAATTTACCTGCGCTTCGAGCGGAGTCTTCACAGGCCATGGATGGATTCTGGCCAGAGCAAAAGACCAGAGAAAGGAACCGGGCATCCATGCTCGCTCGACGTAACCATCAAACTGCATGTCTTCATGCACCTTATTTGGTCGCATCGAGCTCACCGGCTTGCTGCAGAAGTTCCCCCCGATCACCCCGTGACATGAAGATACTTACAAATCTGGGGCCTGATGCACCAGCCACCGACCAAGCGATATGACAGGCCTCACGATCCCTAAACGACGTCTAGACCAATGGTCCTCGTCACATGTGATGACTTTGAAGTGCGGCCGCGAGGGCCCCCTAGATCTCAGTATTAGCGGTTCAAGTTTAGATACTTCGATTATTCCCCTGTCCATTTCGACAGAACTAAATCATGGGGCCTTGACTGGCGATGACGACATGGAGACAGCGAGTTACCACCTCTAGAGATTAATACTAGGATTCCATGAATATCAGAATTCAAGTCGTCTTCAGAGTTACATCGACATAATATGTATGCAACATAGAGCTCGCAAACAGTTGCAAGAGAAACGCACAAGTGGAGTTACTAGAAGATTATCATCAACTGCCTTCGATTACTACTTGTATTCTGAGATCGCCTAGAGACTCAAGCGTACCAAAATAAACCTAAGGACATATGGTGATCACAGTACAATAACTGGGGATACCAATATTAACATCACGAATCACGCATACCGCGAGGCTGTACCTTATTCGTGAATACCTTACCATGTCTATGCCATATTCTGCTATGTGCGATGGTTTGATGAATCCACCCTTAGCTTCAATATTCAGAGCCCACAAAACCGAAGAAATCGAAAAATACTAGTAAATAATCGCTCTATTTACGTGCCGTCCACTAAAAGTGTTCTACGCAGACACCAGCTTCTACAATTCTCCGCACGTGGCCATATCCCAGTATTGAGCTATCGGTCCGGCGGACTTGACTCAGAATAACCCGCTGAGAATTCCTATCGGTTCTATCTCGATTGGTCTAGTGGTCAGGATACCTGCTTGTCATTAATGCTTAGCAACTTAGAATTCACGATTGTGATACTTGGTGGTTACGAAAACATGCCGCAGGTGGCCGGGGTTCGATTCCCCGATCGAGAGTTGAATATGTTGACGTTGTTGGGAACGTTTGTTGATTATTTTGCTCCGCGTGTCTAGCTCGTACATTTTTCTTGACTCGCCTCTCTAGCGCCACGAGGGGTTAGACTTATGAGCTTTCTTCTATGTGAAACTACAAATCCTTATATGATAGAATCTAATTGTTATCTACCTCACATAATAGTTATTTTGAAATCGCCAGAAACTGAGCGGAGAGAATGATGTCACCGTCACCAAGCCTTTCAGTCAGGGGCCGTGTAATCAGTACGTTATCTGTTATATTACTTCTGTGACAGAGAATGTACGTCAAGGGTTAGTATATGAAGGTAATTTAAACTCATATATACAACAACGATAATCCCTACCCACCCGAATGTTACAGACTGTCACGGAATTAGAACTACAACACTACACAGCATCACCACTACCAAAGTAGAATGTAATCAAGGCGTGGGCGCCTTTGATGTCTGAACTTAAGTATATGACCACGGTCGAAACCGCGACAACAACTTCCAGCAGCATGTTTAACGAGCACAATGACGATATTGACGCCATAGCCGTCACTATTACGAGATACAATACGTAGATACAAATAAAAAGACTTGATACCGCGGATGTATATTTGAAGGTTTCGAACACCAAATACACTACTAGTACCAAGCTTTTCAGCAAGTTAATCGTTTCTCCTCATGGACGCTCCTTCTCCTTCACCTCTAGATTAGACCACTTCTCAGCAAGTGAAGACAGCGGGACCAGCAGGCTGGTAAGTCTTGCCGCCGTTGTTGTAAATATTGATGAGGAGACCCGGGTCAGTGTTCTTGTACGCGCCGGGAAAGGAGACGAGATTGGACGGCGTTTTTGAGCCCGAACCCCCCGAGACGGTAATCTGGGCGCACGAGATATAGAACTGGGCGCCGTTTGCTGAACTCGCGCTACATTTGTGGTGCGTGTGTTAGCTGTCTATAAAGGGTCGTGGAAGCATCGCAGATTAAAGACACGAAAGAGATGAGGACGGTTTTTGGTTCGAAGTAGTGGTGAGTTGTTGATGAGATGAGTATTTAAGTTATGAGATAGATGAAGTAGGGTAGGGGAGTAAGTAGCACGGCGTGAATGGACTGAACTCACCTGTGGAGAGCAACGTGCTCGATACGGAACAGGTAGTCGCCGTTAGCGATACACTGCGGAATAGTAAAGCCGACTTGGGACTTTCCTGAAGTGAAGATTCATCAGTTTCGTAAAGCCATCATGTTACTCTTTCTCTTCTTCCCCTTTTCTCAACCACGAAGGTAAAACTCGATCCAGGAAAAAAGAAATTATAACTAACCATTGGAAGGCCAGGTGTACTGTCCACTGCTAGCAGACGGCATATCCTGGAAGACCTTGAACCACACAGCTCCCTTCCCATCCCACGTAGCTGCCGTCTGGCCGCTTGGGACCTTTGCCATATACGCGGACAACGCTCCTGGATGGTAGATGTTTGGTGCTACCGTCCAGGTGATCTGGCCACCCGCGTTGACCTTGGTGATATCAGGCGCGCCCCCCGGTGCCCGCTCATAGCAGCGGATGGCGTCGCTTGTCACGTCCGTCACGGGCCCATTGCTCTGGAAGTTGGCTGTCTGTTGACCGACCGGGAGTCAGTAAATTCCATTGGTAGTGAAGAGACAACTCCTGCTCTCGGGATGAACAAGTGAACCAGCCCGGAAATACTAACCTGGCGCACCGACGACCAGTCAGATGTCCCGGCTAGTTTGGGGAACGTATCTGAGCGTTTCGTTAACGACTGCACGAATATACAACAGTCTAATCATTGACCTAGATCATAAAGCCTCGAGACAAGACCAACCATGACCAAGGATTAGAGTATATCATGAAGACAAGACAGATCAAAATTATCAGTGCAGATAACTCAGATGGGTGTACGTACAGTGAGGAGCAGCCTGGATTGCTCCAATAAAGCATACAAGTGCTGCCGTGGCTTTCATGATTGATGACAATACCAACAAACGATAACGAAGTACGTATTGCAAGATTTCGGCTTGACTAGAAGGAGCCCCAAAGCTAGCAGGTCGTTTGTGCGGACGAGGTGCCCTTTTCAAGATGCTGACTATCTAGGGAGGATGCGACGAACGGAAGGCTTCCTGACCCAGAATATACCCGTGGTCATACCGACAACGGCATAATAAGCCTCGGGTGTAGGAGACAAACAACGATAAGCAACCAACCAGCCGCTCCGACAGAACGAAGGCGCCATGGTGACATAGAGCCAAGATAGAAAGACAATCCGAGCGGAAGGTAACTTGCGAGAACCGGTTAAATGGAGGTGGGCCATATATATTATATATCCATTCAAGAGGTGCCCTGTTAAAGGAGGTTACGGATCCCTGGCTGTTAGGCCCGGCAAGCTATGAAGCAGCAAAAAATAAATGCTTGCGGCGCTATTGGACTTGATAACGACGTTGGTCATCTCGTGGGTGGCTAATAATCCATGTCATAAAGCATGATAGAACGCATTAAACGACTACTAATCTGAAGATATGTTTCATGCTACCTATCTAGACTGTCCGGGTTGCCTCGACACGAGTGCAACTTGGACTGGTCAATCTACCTAAGTATCAGACTATCTGAAGTCAACATGATGTGGCTTAGTAGTTTCAATCTAGACTAGAAACGGGTCAGCAAGTTCAACAGCAAAGGTCCTGCGTCTTAAACAGAGTAGGCTGCTAGTGAGTTCCTCGGAATACACGTTGTGCTGGTGCCTCGTCTCAAATTCGAAGTTGCCTTGTGCCTCCTTTTTTTTTTCTTTGTTTGACCTCGAGACTTCTCCACCCCTCCGAATGAAATCAAAGGAAGAATGACACGTGCAGTCAGTAAGAAATGCACGACCCAGAGGCCGATATTACAATGTCTAATCAGCCTGACCCTCTAGATAACGCCATTTGTGCTTTTGTGAAATGAGAAAACAACAACATGATCCCACAAGCATTACGATATCGAATTGTTAGGATGGTGCAGACGCCTGTTGCAAGATTCAGTTACCAGCGTCGGTTACCAAGAGGCATGGCATTAGCACCGCCGCCACCACCACCGCCACCACCTATTGGCCCCGTTAGTACATTTCAGCATGACAAGAGAGAAAATAGTGGAACCTACCACCACGGTGGCCACCGCGGCCGTAGCCACGGCCGCCGTAACGACCGCCGCCACCTCCACCACCGTATCGCGCCATTTCGGCTAATCTTGGATCAACTTGTTGCTTAGCCTCCTGAAGAACTCCTACGAGATCACGAGCCTGCTTCGAGTCTAATGATAAGGTCAGCTTAACTTCATAGACGTATTAGGATGAGGAGACATACTGTCAGTAGTAAAGAACGTGATGGCAGTACCCTTGGCACCAGCACGACCGGTACGACCAATACGATGAATGTAGTCTTCCGAGTTATTCGGGTAGTCATAATTTATCACATGAGTGATGTTACGAACATCTTTATCACAATAGGTTAGCTCTAGAAAACGAGTTGCTATGGAGCAAGTCCCAGCGGCGGATATGGGTGCCATAAGCATATTGATCCGTGCTCTCTCCATCGAGAATGAAGCTGCGGGGCTGTCTGTTGCATCAACACTGCCAATCTGGAATTGGTCCCAATAGTCTGGTCCGGGTCCTCAGGATTCGGGAATCTCAGCGATAGCTTGACAAAATCAAGAAATGCTCAACCTCGCCTGCTTGTACCACAGAAAATCAAGGTACAAGGCGAAACATCGACACGGCCCTTGGGCCATACCTTAGATCCCGATCATCCGGGGGGAAGGAGAACCACAAGACAGGATTAGGCCAGACATATGTGCGCAATCAAGAAAGCCCCTAGACATCACAGTCAAGCACAACGGATATAACTCTGCTGGAAGTTGTGGGGTGGGGTTAGGGGTTGGGGAGTTTTAATCATACCAATACCACGAGAAGCCACGTCGGTGGCAACCATGATGGGACTCTTATTTGTCTTGAACTGGTCAAGAACCCAGTCACGCTCGTTCTGCTGCTTGTCGCCGTGGATTGCTACAATATGTCAGTGATGAATAATCCATATCGCAAGGCTGAAACGTACAAAGCGCGGGCCAACCATCCTGGCGGAGGAATCTTGTAATCTCGTCCGCTACACGTTTCGTGCCAACGAAAAGAAGGCACTTATTCTCCTTGTTATCCATAATCTTCTCGAGGTGCTTGATCATGCGATCACGCTTCTCGCCCTCAGAAACTACTTCAACAACTTGTGTGATACGGTGGTTTGCGGAAAGATCCATGGAGCCAATGTTGACTTGAATGAAGTCGGTCTGGAACTCAGAGGCTAGGGCTCTGACCTCTTTGGGCCAGGTAGCGGACCACATGAGTGTCTGACGATCGGGTCGAATTTGACTAATAATCTTTCGAATCTGTGGCTCGAAACCCATATCAAGCATACGATCCGCTTCATCGAGAACCAGATAAGTGACTCGGCGAAGGTTAGTCTTGCCACCCTCGAGCATATCAATCAAACGTCCCGGTGTGGCGATGCAGACCTCGACTCCCTTAGACAGGTCTCGGATCTGGGGGCCACGGGGAACACCTCCATAAACACACGTGTTGCGGATGCGGGACGATTTGCCAAACTTGGTGATCTCTTGCTGAATTTGAACGGCCAACTCTCTTGTGGGGGCTAGTACAAGAACAATGGGGCCATCACCAGGTGCGAGCAAAGGCTGGGCGTTGATGTGAACAATGGCGGGAAGGCAGTACGTAAGTGTCTTTCCGGAGCCTGTCTCGGCAATACCAACGACATCGCGACCAGAAAGAGCCATAGGCCAACCCTGGGACTGAATGGCGGTAGGAGCAGGAAAGCCTTGGGCCTTGACCTCATCCATGACGTATCTGGGGAATCCAGCTTCGTCGAAAGTCTCGACGGGCTTGGGGACATCTGACCCTGCGATAGTAATTTGGTGATCGCGACGGAATCGTTCAACCTCACTAGCAG